CCGATATGGAACCTATACCCTGCAAACCGCTGTTTTTCGATCTGGCTATGAACTACTTGGAGTTGCCATCCCTGGAGGACAAGCTTGAATCGCCCGGCAAGAAGGGTGCCTCCATTACGGGCTTTGTAAAGGGCTTCCTTGGTTGGGGCGGAGGTGGCAATAAGTGAGACCTCAGCTGCACGATCACAACTTCAAGCCCCCTAATGAAATTCCATGTTGATGTTGCTTTTATAAAAACGTCCAACAAGCTTGAACGTTTATTATTTGTTTTTGCTTTTAGATCCCGGCTTTTTTTTAGTATAGAAACCAACAACCAGCCAACACAAAACAAACATTTATCGACAAAATTGGTTTAAGTTACAATAGTGAGGAATTATTGGTAATAAAGGAAGCTACAAATGCTGCAACTGCCTCTGTTATACTGCTTAAGATCCTGACCAGGATTAAGATATAAGATTCCGAATTGACTTAATTGAATTTATTGGCTGTACTCTTCGGTTAAAAAAATATCTTAGATTCAATGGTTAAATAACTATGGTTAAATACTACAATTATTTACACGCCCAGATAACCGTGCTCGTAGAACTCCAGCGCCAACTCCCTGATGCGCAGGTGATACTCCGGCGTCAGCTTCTGCGTACAATTAATCTCTTTTCCATTCAAGTTCAGCTCACTTATCGCATCCAGATCGGGTATGTTATTGGGATCGAACGTGACCGCTGGCAATATCCACATAGATATGGCCAATCCGTAATGTACGTGACGCACATAGTCTTCACTGAGTCGCTGCAGCGAGAAAGTTTCGCACAGTTCATCCAGATGGTTGGCCGCCGGTGTGTGACGCAGCTGTTGGCTCAGTTCCTTACGCAGAGCCTCCGCATATGCGGCTAGCAATGTATCCGTGTGCACATCGCGCAGCTGCCGGCGCGTGCTGGTGTATATAAAATGAAGTATATCAAAGACGGGCGAGGTGCGTCTCATGGCCTGTAGATCAAAAAAGATGACCTCCTCGGGCTGCGAACGAAACATTAGATTGTTGACCCACAAGTCACCATGACAGATCACGCTTAATGGAGTTGCTGCCGCCGCAATAATGCTTCGATGTAGCTGCCCAAACAGATTAGGTTGCAGCTGCTCGATGAGGCGTATGGGCGCCGATAGGTTACCATCCGCATTCGAGGCATTCAGGCTGTCCAGCGCCTGCTGCACCGACGTGTCCAGTATGCGAGAGTAAAACTCCGCCGCATCCGGGCAGTATACAATTTCCGTCATGTGCGCGCACTGTTGAGTAAAATGAGCCGATTCCAGATGCTGTGCGGCCAGTGAAGCGGCGTGCAACTGCGCCAGTTTCTAAAAATGAACAGTACATCGGTGTATGTTGTGTATCATTGGGATGCAGCAGCTCGTCTACCTTCATCACGAGCAGGCAGTGTTGCAGTTCCAGACCTGCCAGGCGATTCTTCATGCGGTAGCCCAGTGCTGTGAGGTCCTGCAACACAATGATGGGCTCGCCACTCGGGCTTCCATCATCGAGTGCGGCTATGTGGCATTGCGGAAATAACGGCTGCTGGCTGTAGCGGCAGAGTAACGGTACCACGTGCTGATAAACATTGATCTCATTTGTGAAGGCCTCCCCGCAACGGTACAGCTGACGGCGCGAGATGCTAGCAATTTGACGCTTGATGATGACTGAGCAGATGGCAGACGCAGCGGCAGCTAAAAGAAACAAACGAAATCAAAAACAAAGCAAAACGGCGAGAAGAGCAACGCATGCAACTCTCTCGCGCTCTCCTGCAAGCTAAACAGCTGATTTTTGTTTACGCGGCGTAGTAAAATTTATGAATGAAACTGTCTGCTCTTAGTCAGAATGTTTGTGAGTGTGTGTGTGTGTGCGAGAGAGCCGCTCAGTTGCCGTGTATGTTCATGTGTATGTGTGTGTGTGTGTATGAGTGGGCGAGTGTGCGTGTTGACCTTTAGCAAATATATATTACATATCGTATATCTATGTATATTGCATTTAGAATTCGTATAACAAGGTCAGTTGACGCCGCCGCTAAATGTGCAGCAACAACAACAACGCGAGCAACAAAATTAATCAATAGGCTGAACGCAGCTTGACTGCAATTCGCCAGTGTTGGCTACATCTCCAGCTTAGGCAGCTTCTTTACCCATTTGGCTATCGCCCGCCGCATCATGGATTGTCACACGCTTCACCAAGGACATATAGTTGTCGCCGCTGCTGCTGCCCGCGCTGCAGGCGATTTGGCCAATGTTAAAATTTACCAAATTCTTAGCTCGAAACAGTTTGCGCAAATACTCAATGTCCTCCACATATTGGTTGGTGTTGCCGACATTTGATAGTCCTGTTGTTGTTGTTGTTGTCATAGCAGTTGTTGCCATTTTGCTTGCTGCCAGCTCGCAACTGATTGGAATTCTGAATTGGAGTTAAAACTAAGCATGCAACCCGAATTGTGCGCCCAACTTATTGGTTTGTGCAACTGCAGCATTTTAGAAACATTGCGCCAGTGACACAATTGGGGAATTGGGCGCAGGTCAGTTTCATATGCTTTATTGGTTAATAATTTTCGCCTATGCCATTGATTTTTGTTTCTTTCTGTGCACTAATTGAAAATTGTTTCGGTTTTTTTTTTTGCTGTTTTCGGACAGCCGTGCAAATGCGTTCAACTAAACCGACTGCCGAACCGCGCGCTGCGCCGCTCAACGACAACTGAGCCAGAACGCCAGAACGATTTTCTATTGCAATAAGAATGCACTCACCAACACATACACACACTCACTCACTCACACACTCACTCAAAAACGCATGAGTGCAAGCACTAACCAAAGAACATATAGATGGGACATGCCGTACTAGAAATGTGGGCACTACAAAATCGGTGCATCTGATCCAAAAAAAGAGTAAGATATATATATGATGTCTTTTATTCGCTTACTCTACAGGAAACTGCTTTGGCTTACTCTCTTCCATATGATTTGTGCGATAGAACGGCATTGCTGTTTATTTTTATCTCACTCGCACTTACTCTCAATGCTCTCTTTATGCCTAGGTACCGTTTAAATGTGTGTGTGTTATGTGTCCGCACAAGCAAAAATGCCCACAAATTCAATTTGCCACGTCGATGCGAACTTCTTGCATTTTAGCTCGTTATTATTGGAAAGGGTTGGCATGTGTGCACAGCTTATTCGAGTGCTCCCGCTCCCGCTCTCTCTCTCCCTCTCTCTTTCTACTCTTATCGCAGGTGCATGTAAAAAAGCCGGCAGACATTGGAGGTAAACGCGTTGCTCTCTTATTACTGTTGCATTTTTTAACGGCGTTCAAGGTAGGGTCAGTGCGAACTTTCACTCATTGAGCGTGAGTACACGGTGCGTATGCTCAACACCAGCAAAGGCAAAGCGGATGTGATATTGCTCATACGCCGCATTGTGCAAAGTCGTTTGCATTGTGCCACAATTGCGTGCACTTGAAACTGCATAAACCGTCCTTGGTGCCACAGAACTGCACTGCGTCCAGCTGTGTGTTTTTCAGCTCAGTGTATTTTTTTATTAAATTAAGTATGAATTGAAGGCTTTTCAGAAACGACTTTTTTTAATTACTGAACAGTTTAGTAAAACATTGATTTGAGTGTTTCCTTCTTATATCTATTATTTTTTAAAAAGTGTAAACTGGTTGTGTTTTTATCCGTTGACATTTCTTTAAGTCATTTAACTGATCGGAATGCAAACAATATTTACTGTAGCATGTTCTAATAGAAGACACATTTATTGAATAATACAACAAAAACAGAGGTCAAGCCTATTAACAGCAGCTTAAGTTTGCATGCCAAACAATGCATCTACAAAATGCCAATTAATTAAATATCAAATTCGACATGGCCAATAAATAAACACCAATTTGTTAGACCACTCCCCGAAATACAGCGAAACCGCGAGTCAACAATGTAATTACCACAGAGATATATCAAGATACGCACCTGTGCCGGCTGCACGGCAAGGTTCAAGGTAACCGAAACAAACACAAGTTATCCGCCCGGCCACAGCCCCAAGCTGCCCCGAGCTGCTTCCGCATCAGCTGACATCAGCGGTTGAATAACCCCAGCCTAGACTACAGGCAGCCATAGCAAATTAGGGTCAAACATGTGCAGCTTCACGTTCAGCCAAGCGTTCCAACCGAGTCTGAAACTGCGACATCGAGTCAGTTGAGCATTTAATTTCAGGGTCAATCTACACTTTCAAATCTCGGAATCGCAATCGCACTTGGATTTGGATTCCGATTCGGATTCGGATTCTAAGCAAATTACACGCATACACAAGCCAAACAATGTTTATACCCTGTAGCAAATGAAAATGGGTAGCAAAGGAGGGTATTATGGCTGGGTGTGGGACAGAAGGAAGGAGACTACTCTGACTAAAGATTGGGGAGGACGAACTGAGTCTATTCAGGCATGCCACTCTAATCGTATATATGAACGCATCGATCTCGGGAACTATAACTAACAACAAAAATTTTAAAAATTTTGGATAAAAATTAATTAGGTTTTTGGAGCATAACTCGGTACTCGGGGTAAAAACTAGAAGCCCCAAATTTGGTAAGGCGATTTCCGTGTTATACACAAAACCAGAATAATTACATTCTATATGTTCACTGTCTGTGAGAGAGTCCCGGCTCTCAGTACAGGGTATGTCCTAGTCGGCAGACTTTCGAGTAGAGCACCCTTGTTGTAAATGTGTGTGCAATTTGACCAAAACAGCGACCGGCAAGCTGGCGACCTTTTTTGGCGGGCATTTTGTAGAGCATGAGAAACTTAAAATAGCTGAAAAACTTACGCATTTAATTGCACAAACTATGGCCTAGGCCTAGGTCGGCGCAATAGCCAGAGCTTACACAGTGCTCTTTCGTCCATAATTAATATAATATAATAATAATAAAATAAATATTCGAAGCCAGCTGCCGCCTTCATAGTTCGCTCGCTCACGGCTCGACGACAACTTTGAGCGTTTTCGCTGCGCTTTTGTCTCAATTTTGGTTGAGTGAAACTCGTTCTTGTGGCATTCAACGTGAAACACATAAAAGTACGCCAGCTCGTTATTTGAGATTCAGTTACAGTTTCAGTTTCAACTTTACTAGCCAGCTGCCAGCTGCCAGTTCCAGCTCCAGCTCCTGTTGTTGCCCAGTGTTAAATACTGTGAGCCATATACAAATTGTGGGCGTTCCAGATCTCGTTGAGATCAGATATGCATTGATATTATAAGCCCATGTGTGGGCTGTTGCATGCAACCTTGACTTTGGCTTGGTTCTGAAGTGACTAAAAATTTAAATTTATTTTTGTTGTTAAATTGTGACTAAGACTGTGAAATATTTAAGCGTAACTGGAGCACACAATTCAAATGCTGCAGCTGTCCAGTGTTATCACCAAACAAAAACGTCAATTGCGAAAAGTTCATGGATAAAACTCCAGTTGGTGCAACACCAGCAGCGGCAGCAGCAGCAGCAGCAGCAACAATGCCTCAGCCTCAGCCTCAACCTGAGTCGTGTGTCTAGTCGCTCCACTTGTTGGCGCGATAATTGATTTTTCCGTAAATAATTTATGACGCACGTAACTGACAGTTTTTATAGCTTATAGATTAAAAAACGCACCCAAAAAAATATAAGAAATAAAGTCAGGCGTATCATTTATTAGCTATTTAACCAACTAAAATGGAACGGTTCACAAGGCAACGCCAGCTACAATATGTTCTCCTCTCTTGCAGCGATCATGTGGTCCACCCGCCTACTTCATTTGCTCGGTTGCCTTGCACTGGCCCTGAGCACGGCTCGGGCGCAGTTCTTCTACCATCAGGCTTTGGGGCTACCAGCAAAGGCCTCGTATCAGCCAGAATCGCCATATGTGGGTTATGCCACGGCAGATGCGCATCCGTCGGTGGTCAAGAATGCCCAATGGGAATCGGAGCTGCCAGGTGAACTTTCCAAGAGTGCCCGCTTCTACAGCGATCCGGTCATAGCGGCCAATCTGGCCAAGGAGTCGCTGTTGACGCGCAAGGAGATGGCGGTTGTGCATCGCGAGGCGGATAAGATTCCACGCGAACAGGTCTACAAGCTCTTCAAGAACGCGGGCTACCTGAGTCGCAGATAGACGGGGAAAAACAATTTCCATTTCCCATGTGCCTTGTTGTATTCTAGTTTGTAATCTGTTGCATATGTTTACTTTGAAGTGTTAATATAATCAAACATTTTTAAATGCTCGTCGGATCGTTTACATGCCAGATTTGCTTGTCAAGGTTTAGGCATAAATTATGGCAGAAAGAAGGTCAGACTCAGAGAAGGTCAGTAAAGTCAAAGTTCGAGATTGATTTCATAGGGAAAATAAGAATTACAAATCCAAGTATCCAGCCATTCCTATTCGCACCAAAAAAAGATTTTTAAAAAATTATCGTTTTTTCAAAATATAATAATCACAAACTCAGCTCTTTCAACGTTCACTTTGCTCGTGACACAATGATAAACAAATTCTCATCAGCATAAAACTATTATAACATATGGCTTTCACAGGAAAATCACTACGAAACCCAATTCTTGGGGGAAAAACTTTTTTGGATATATTACCCGAATCGATATATACCCGATTCGAAAATTAGGAGACCAAGTAAACTGCTAACATATTGAGAGTTATTTAAGTTGATTTTTTTTTAAGTATTATTAAATGTTGTTGTTCGGACTTTTAGGGTATTATTGGAGTTGCTTGCAGTTCCCCAAGTTTGGATGCCGCAGGTCCAGACTTGCTTAAGGGATACCAACATATTATATATCTCCCCGTCGAACAGGGAGCTTTTGTATATATCGCAAATTTTTTTTAAATAGTCTGCACTGATATTCAATTGACTGCACAACATGGTATCATATCTCCTTTCCAGTCTGCGGAAGTATCTATGCCTGTTTCAAAAGGAATTCTCGCAGAAATTGGTGAGTATTCATACTTACTTCATGCCCCATCTAAATTATAAGAAAATGTTATAATATTTAAAAATGAAAGCCCAGTTAACCTTTAAAAAAAAATTCAGCTATTATTTGTCATCAATATCTGCCTGCATTAAAGTACTCATTGACCTAAATATGGAATAACTTAAAGAAATCTTTTAGTAGTCCCCTGATAATAAAAGACTTGTCGGATAAAGCATACATTCTTAACTAATATATGTAGAAACTTGTTTTAAACTCCTAACTATCTCTGGTTGTCTTTTAACCACACACGATCATGTAAAGTCTGCCGCCAAAACAAATATGCGAAATTCAAAAAGGTTTTATATGCGATTAAGTATATATTATAAATATTTTTGAATTGTTGAAATTGTATCGTTTTGTACTGCAAAATGTTTATAAGTTTCCTTAGAACATCTTGAACATGACGCTGATTGTGTAAAAGGAGAATACTACAAAGTACGAATTTGTTATGTGTGAGACTACTAAGGATTTTCTAATATTATATACAGGTTATACAATTGCGATTAATTATAGTACAAATAGTTCGGCGCCATTGCTGGGAAATGTGGCAAAGACAACTTCATTGAAATCATTGGGCTGATAGCGCTCCAAGAGGTGTGCTGGCAATTGAGCATAGTAATCACGCTTGAGCACCTGAACGTAATCAGCGGCTGCTTTTACTGAATCGCACATGGCCACAATGCAGCCGCCCCAGCTGTAAAGTATGGAGAATCACTGTTAATAATTGGAAGGTAAGAAGATGTAGTTGTAGGCTCACCCGGCACCCGTGACACGTGCGCTGACCCCTTGTTTGACAGATAAGGCAACGAGACGCTCCAAGTCCGGATGAGAGCACTCATAGAGCTCGCGCAGGCTCTGATGCGACTGCTGCATGAGCTTGCCCAGCTGCTCAAGATCCTGTTTGCTTGCGCGGCGCTGCAACTGCTCACAAATTTTTCGGAACTCGACAACTCGACCGGACTCTGTAGGAAAATGAAGTGAAATAATAATTGCAAACACAAAAGGCTATGAAACTAACCCTGGATAACATGCAAGGCGCGTTGGCGCAGCTTGAACTGCTGCATGTGCTGCGTGCTGGGCGTCAGAAAATCCGTTTCCAGTTCCTGTTCCGTGATGCCCAGCGCCTCGCAAACGTCCTCGCGTGTATAAAGCATTCTTTTCAACTGCTGTTGAATCAGTTGTGCGTATGCAGCATTATCTAAATTGCAGGCCTCCTCCAGATCTATGAATCTAGTGTAATCCTTCCAGTTAGGCAGCTTCTTTGACTTGGCCAGCCAACGAGTAGCTAGACGGCACTCGACAACGCGTTCGTTGTAGTCGGAAGATGCTGCTTTCCGCTTCTGCACGAGACTATTGGCCACTACAAAGCAACTGCCAGCGGGCAGCGTTACGGGAGTACCCTTAAGTTTTGGATGGAACTCAATATGCTGGGCGCAACCCTCCTTCGCTAGATAAGCAATAGCTTGATCCATGCCGCCGCTATGTGTGCCAATATATTGCTCACAGTTTGCCGAAATCGAGGCTAGCTGCTTGCGATCCAGCTGCATGCCCTGCACGTGTCCAGTGGCCAGCACAGCTGCGCTAACCAATGCACTAGAGCTGGACAAGCCAGCAGCAAGGGGCACATTGCCGCTAAGTGCAATGCGCATGCCAATGGGACGCCACTTCTCTTCCAGCTCCTCCTGTATGCCCTTGATGCCACACAAGAAGTAGCTGTACCAGGCCGGACCGCCTGTCTTGGGCAGCTTGATGCTAGCAGAGGAAAAATTTAAATTGTAATAAGAAATGTATTGAATTACAAACATTTAACCTACTCAAGGGCATTTAGATCGCAATCAAAGCTTTGGAATTTTCCCCCATCCAGATGATGTAGTTCCAGATGTGCCAGCTCTGGGTTTGTGCCTACAGCCAAAATGATGCTCTGCTCAACAGCCATGGGCAGGACCGAATAGCCGCAGTAGTCCACGTGTTCACCTATAATATTAACACTAGCGAAGGACAAATATATATATATATATATATATTGGTGTGAATGTCGGCATCCGCTTACCGTCCTGGTACTCGCACATAAAACTCTGGCTCAACGCCGTATTGCTGCTTGTAGAAGGCGCCCAAGCTCATCAGGCGCTCATAGATCCTAGCCTCCGGCTGAAGCTTTTGCACGGCAACATGCTCGTCACCCACATTGGGAGCTGTGACTGTACCACTTCCACTCTTTGCTGCCATTTTCTGACCTGCAACGGAAAAAATAGTCCCTTGTTATGTGGCTGTTAACGTGTCACAATACCCCGTTAAGCCGTAATAATAATAACACAGGCTATAAAAACCGAGTACGTAAACAATAATAGCTACACACATACAGAATTTGTGTATATGTTACATGTGTATAGAAAAGGTGTGCAAATTCTTGTTATCAGCCCGGCTCTCACCTTATCACAATGTCATTGGAACGATTAAAATATGCGACGACTTACTATCATGGGAGATATCGGTTTCGGAAGTGTTGTACTGTTGCACTTGTTATTAAATTGACGCAAATTGCATTAATTTAATTGAAAGAATGACTGCAAAGTGCACGAACTATTAACTTGCAAATTGCGCCGGCAAAAACCGAGGGCCGCAAAGAGAGTGAGAGAGCGAGCGAGATAGAAAATCCAAATTTAACAGCTGTTATGAAGGCACTGCCAGGCTCAAGATAAATATTTTATTGGCGGATTTTTGGAGTGTTTTAAAAAAAAAATACTTTCTTCTTTTTTCGTTTAAAGTTCAATAAACCCAGCAATACTGTTAATGACGTACATACCAAACAATTTTTATCACCCTTTTTAATAGTTTAAAACACTTGCACAGGGCTATTACGTTATCAAATAAGTGGTCAGAAAAACTTTTTATATTTTTGTATTAGTGTGACGCGAACGCTACGCCATCCAACGGGCAACTAAGTGCTCAGCTCATTCAGTTTCCGTTTTTGTTTAGGCAGATATCAACAAAATGTGAATTGTGACTGGAGTGTTCGACATCGTCTTGAGTTTTGTTTACATTAGCTGTTTGTTATCAGCCCGGGTTCCATGTAGGTCATGCTCATACCGGAGTGACTACGGCCATGCAACAAATCTTTACTTTCTTTGGTAACAAGATTTTATGCGCTTTTGGAAACAGGTTTTTAATTAGTATGCGTTAATTCATAAATATATTTTTGTTCGGGCAATCATTCAAAGTTGATCACTACGACACAAATAATATTTCCTTTACTAAGTAGCAATATTTTAATAGTTTGAATGATTATTTTCCACAATTTCAGTATTTAACTTGAAGCCGCCGATTAATTAAAAGGTTATCGATAAATTCTAGCAAGGACTACGCATATCCGATATTAATCGAAGTACTATTGCATGTAAGCAACAAATACGATCCGAAAATATAATTGTACTCTTGAATGCTAATCAAGTGATAGACCAGGTGTTTTTAGACTTACAGTAAAAACGCTTCCACTGCTGCGCATTCTAATCACAGGCAGTCGATGGTTCGATAGATATTAGCCACAGCTGTTCAATTATGGCTCTGTTTAGCCTCTGTTAACATACTAGAAACAATCGAATGTCATATAGCAGCTGTTAAATAATTTTTCGGCGGCACTTAGGAAATCTTTTTTTCATAAACCGTTGCTATTTCGTAGCGCACTGCATGAGCATATTATCCGAATCAATTGTTCAATTTTTAACAATCTCATAAATCATTAACATAAGTTTTAATGAGCATACTAATGCTTGCTGTTAATAACATTTCAGTGAATGTTAAAGTTTTGAGGCGCCCAACAGTAACGAAAACGTAGTGAAGAAAAAAAACAAATTTACAATTTTTAGTAATATACCATCTGCAATTATTGCGCAGACAATCAGCAGACAATGTCGAGTTTACAACGTACAATACTTAAGTCGAAACTGCCACCCACCATTCCGAGTGGCCGGATTGGCAGAGCGTAAGTTTTTCCCACGAATTTTTATTATGTGGGCGGAGGATGGAGGACACGCTATCTAATTGATATAAAATCATTACAGAGATTCCTTTAAAAAGTCACGTATAAGGGACTACAAGCCATGCATGTGGAACGAGTTCTTTGCCGAGAAGGCAGATGTCGCCGTGGATGAGCAACGTACATTTCGCGTCTATAAAACTAAACAGCCCGAGAAACCGGGCCCCGTCTTGTTATTACTGCACGGTGGCGGCTATTCGGCGCTTACCTGGGCGCACTTTTGTGTATGTATATTATATATTGTGGCTGTGGAAGAGCGATAATAATATCCTATCACTATCCGTTTTACCTTTAAGTCGGAAGTGACAAGCATGATACACTGTCAGTGCCTGTGCATTGACCTTCGGGGACACGGCGACAGTAGAGTGGATGACGAGGACGACTTGTCGGCAGACACTCTGTCAAAGTAAGTGCTAGCCTGTTGCTTTTATGTGTAAGTGGGTGTGTGTGTGTATGTGACTAAGCGTTTTTGTGTGCACTTAGGGACATTGGCGATTTGGTCGTGAAACTATATCCCGAGGAGGTGCCACAAATCTATGTGGTTGGCCACTCAATGGGCGGTGCTATTGCTGTACATTTTGCATATATGGCGTTGGTGCCGAGTCTGATTGGCATCACAGTCATCGATGTCGTCGAGGGCACGGCAATGGAAGCTTTGGCTAGTATGCAAAGCTTTCTGCGCTCGCGTCCCAAATACTTTCAGAGCATACCAAATGCCATCGAATGGTGCATACGCAGCGGACAGGTGCGAAACGTGGACAGTGCCAAAGTCTCGATGCCTGGACAAATAATTAAGTGAGTGACGTCAGCGTGAAAAGAGCTTTTATTTTATTGATTATTATTTTCGTTCTAGCTGTACAACGAATAAATTGGCAACGAATGATCTTCCCCTGACAGATGAAGTGCTAGAGGAGGCGCATCATACAAGCATGTTTCCCAATGCATTTAGCATTTCCGAAGATGAAGAGGTGGGCAATGCCGGTGACGATGGAGCCGAAAGTGTCGACTTCAAGAAACCCACAACGACCAAGGCTGCAACGGATGCGGCTAAGAAGTAAGTTTTCTGATTTTTAAGATGAAAGACAATTAACCTTTTAATCCTTACAGCTACACTTGGCGCATCGATCTGGCCAAATCGGAAAAGTATTGGGTCGGCTGGTTTTCGGGCCTTAGCGACAAGTTCCTTAATTTGAGATTACCCAAACAGTTACTTCTGGCTAGCATCGACGGACTAGATCGCACCCTGACCGTTGGTCAGATGCAGGGACGCTTCCAGATGCAGGTGTTGGCACGCTGCGGTCACGCCGTACACGAGGACCGTCCACACGAGGTAGCCGAGGTAATCAGCGGCTATTTGATACGCAATCGTTTCGCGGAGGCCGCTGGCGAGTTTCGCTGCCACATGCCATCCTGTTAAGCGACGTCCTTGTACAATTGTAGCACAAAATGTCTATTTTTAAATGGAGCATTACAGATTGCGTATACATATATGTACACACAGAAACATAGAGAATAGAAACAGAAGATATACTCGAGACGTAATATCTATATATAAATATATACTCCAATAATTTATTCGATTACTTAAACAAATCCATACGTATTTTCAAGTATCGTAGTTTTTCTCGTTTTGCCAAATTCCATATGGAACCAGCATAAAGAGTGAGCAGACCCGAGTTTGAGGTCTTCCAATTGCTTTGAGTTGCGCTTCTTAAATTGTTGGAGCTGTGCGTTTTTGTCTGTATTTAATATGTGCCAGATGAAATTAAAACTGATACAAAATCATTATTATATTATGTCAAGTAAATAAGTTTAATTAATAAAACGCTAAAATGATTATAATGGACGAATGTAAATTTCGGTTAGCGCATAAGAGTATGCAATTGTTTTAAGTAAACGCAAGAAGTTCGGTTGCTCAACGGTTTTTCCAATTTACTCGCATAACACTATTTCTATACGTTAAACATTTAACACATTTTATTTTAAACTTCATTCTAATCCACAAAGCGAAAGCCTCCGTCAGCCTTCATCTTTATCTTGGTCTCCAATGCACGGATGCGATGCAAACGCTCCGATATCTGATCGTGTATCTCGGGGCGGTATTTTTTTCCCTGCCCGAGCGCCTCCATTTCAGCGAGCCAATCTGCACGCTCGTTTATTTGATCCAGCACTGTGAAAAAAATATTTAACCGAGTACAAGGCCAACAAATTCTAACCGACTCACGTTCGTTAATTATATCATTCTCGGTGACCAAACGATCTTCACGGGAACGACGAAGCGGCTTTATAGCCGGATCAGGCAATTCAACCCCTGCCATGGTCAATTGCAGCTGGGATTTGGCCTTATCGCTGATCATGCGATTGTCCACTTTCGGGCGATAATAGGTCTTCTCATAGGCGCCGCTACCCTCAATTTGGCGCAGGTTTTTTCGTTTGGCATTGCGCGCGCGCTCCAGTATAGCCAGGGTTTCCTTATTAAGATCATTGTTGGTGTTGGGACGCGGCGGTTTGGGCAACGGCAGCGGCTCTCCATTGCGCAGACTATTATCGATTTGCTTGCGCATAACCATGGACATCTTGGACTCCTTCATGAGCACTGCAACGCAACAAGGAACAGGTAAGTGGTACGAAAGACTATCTATACTTACGCTTCAGTAAATCGGCTGTCTCCTTGCTGTACTCCACTTTTGGCGCATGAAAGGCGCCGCTGCCACCGGGCCCAATGCGCTCGCTCGGCCACAGGGGCAATTGCTCCTCATTGCCATTAGCTGGCGGTTGTCCTGCTTGTTGCAGCTGCTGCTGGTGTTGCTGCTGCTGCTTTAGCAGGCCCGAAGTCAGCCCATCTAGCTGCACATTGTTATAGCGATGCCTGTTCATGTTGTGAATCGTTCGAATTTTGCTATTATCTGATTTGAGTATATATATATATTTCGATTCCTTTTCAACAGTTGTGAGTGTGTGATTGGTTGTACTTCAAATAACAGGAGACTCCGCCGGAGACGCATGGCAACCTACGTTGTTAGGCAACCAGGTTGTAGGAAAACAGACCCACCCAGCCACATACATCCCAAACACATGTTAATTTTTGAAATAATTTATTTAAAATAAATATATATGTTTGTATGTATATGTGTATTGGTAGTAGGTACACTCTTGAATGCTCACATTTGATAATTCGTTTCGTTCTTCGCCTGCAATGCCCCGCCTTGCACGCCCCCCTCAATCCCATCTGACTTTTAATGTGATTTGATTTATGTACTATGTAATTAACTTGACTTTATGCACAATTTTTGTTTATAGTTGAACCTTTACTTATTAAACCATTTTTGTAGTTTGAACATTTCTATGGCTATCAATTTTGTCAATATATATATATATATATATATTACATATATTTCTTTGCAATTTGTAAATAATAACATAACATTTTTGTTGTGTTTGTGTGTTTTGAGTGTATATTGTAATTGTTTAATAAAAAATCAATTTAGATTGTTTGTCAAGCATCAGCCATATATATATGTATGTATATACATTTTTGCAATTTTTATGCATTTCGTTCAATTGGTACACACAACGTTTTCATTTAAGCTAACAATTTGTTGTAATTTTCTTATAATTGTCTGTGGCCTACAGCGGTCCACTCTCGTTTAAATTTTAGCTTAAGCTTAGTTACAAAGCAATCGCGGTCGATATTTGACATATATATACATATATATGTTTATATATAGCAATTCTCAAAACAATAAACAACATAATCGATTGCCATCATTATCATATACAGCACATGATTACAAAACAATTGAATAAGCCTAAAAGCGAAACAAAACATATAAAATATATATCTGTATATATATATGCGTTACAATGTCCGATAACATGCATGGGAGTTTTTTGATTTTTTTTTGTTTTTTTTTTTTGGC